AAACGGATATAAATTATTTATAAAATCGTTTGAAAATGGGAAAAATCTAAATTACTTAATTATTTTTAGGTTACATTTTATATAAATCAAATAAAATATTTCTTTCGGCAGTTTTTCTGTGTACTAAATAATTTAAGTGTTATGTTCTTAGTTTTTTTACGGTACCATCATAGTGCGATTCCAATTCTTGCTTATTTTATAAGATGATACGTTTTTATTAACAAATTATTTTTTTTTTCATGAAAAATTTTTTTTTTCCGTAAAGTTCAATACACTGTCTCAGAGGGTATTAAAAAACTAGGTAACCCTTAAATTTTTAATAATATCGATTAAAAACTAACGAAGTTATTTACTATTTTGCGTAGTAATAATTTCGCTTCTCGAATGTGCAAAAATACGAAAATCGATTTGAGCGACCTCTAAATATTCATCGAATTTGGATTTTTTGGTATCAATATTTTAGTTTTAATGTAATCTTTATAATTTAGGCCAGTGCGGGTTCATTTATACATATATATATATATATATATATATATATATATATATATATAGATAAGTGGTCAGCTGTGACCTCCGTTAAGTTGAGAGGGCCACCTCTCCTCCGGGTCTGCGGAATGGACGATTTTTATTTTGATTGCATATATTGCGGGGGGGAGCCTTAAATATTAACGCCACCACAAGAGGGGAAGCAATTTTTTATTTTTTAAAATGTCAATTTTTTTACGCAAACTGGAGATACTCAAGATACAAAGTCACCTCCGAATATATATATAATTTCGGAGAAACAAACAGCCTTGTATCCTCCGACAGTGTTGCCGGATTTTCGGAGGTCGCAACGTATCTTTAGTATCTGGGATATATATCAGATTTATTTTGTCCACTGCTTCATGCTATATGTGCCATACATTATTTAGTAATAATAATAATAATAATTATTATTAAATAAAGATTTTACAGGGGTTATGTTATTACATAAATAAAGATTTTACAGGGGTTATGTTATTTATCGTGCGATTTTTACCAGATTTGTTTTAAAGGTAAAATCTTGATAAACTGTATTTTTGAAGCAAAACCGCCATATTTTTACTAAATACAAGGCCTACTATTTTTAAGAATTCATATTGGCGATTTTTTTAAACAAAATCTAAGCACGGCACTGGATTCACCACCCCTCAAAATGACCTTATACTAAATTATATTAAAAATGTAAATAGAAAAATATAGAGAAATAATAACTACAAAAATTTATTTTGTCAAGTTATACATGAAAAAAACATTGAAATAAAATTAAACTAATAGTATAACATGGTATACTTATTATAAGTTTAATTTTATTTCTATGTTTTTTTCATGGATAACGACGGAATAAATTTTTGTAGTTATTGTACATTTTTCTACTTAAAATTTTTTAATAAAGTTTAGTAAAGGGTCGTTTTGAGGGGGTGGTGAATCCAGTGCCGTGCTTAGATTTTGTTTAAAAAAATCGCTAATATGAATTCTTAAAAAATTACTCTTAAAAACTGACATAGTAGGCCTTGCATTTTGTACAAATATGGCGTTTTTTGCTCCAAATATACAGTTTATTAAGATCTACACCTTAAAACAAATCCGGTTAAAATCGCACAATAATTAATGATTTTACAGGGGTGAGTTGTAAAAAATGGGTCACATTGTATATGTACTGTTTTGCTTGCAAGTCGTTTTTTAAAAACTTTTCAAACCGATTGACTTTTGAAAGAATTATTAATAATATTATTATCAATAAGTTTTCTTATTTTAATATTTATTAGTAGATATTTATTATTATTTTTAATATTTCAATTGTATTTTTGTATTATTTTTATTTTTTCTAATTTTTTTGTTATTTTTACTATTTTTATTATAATTATTTTTTTGTTAATATTTTTATTACGTAGGTATCTACTTCAATTATTTATATTCCTTTTACAATCTTCATTATTTTTATTTATTTATATTTAGTTTTATTGTATTATTTTAATTGTTTTATTAATATTATTTTTATTTATAATTTTAAAAAATTAATCTTATTGTTATTATTTTTATTAATTTTTCTAATAATTATTATACCCAATCATTTTGAATATATTTATTAGTATACTTTTTTATTATTTTTATCAATTTTACTTTTTTAATTATTTCTTTATTTCTAATATTTTTATTTTTAATATTTTTGATATTTTTATTATTATATTAATAAAAATATAAGAAAGAAATTGAAGTAAACAATAGGGATAATTAAAAAACATAAGTAAAGTAAAACATTTTTATCTATTAAAATAGTTATGAATAATAATTATTATAATTATAATTATCATAAGGGTAACTAATTAATATTTTTTTTCGTTTTTCTTAAGGTGTTGGACTTTGGCTTTAATAAGGGATACACTTTTTATTTTCGTTTGTTCTAGAAAAGATTTAAATTCTTTGCTAGATGAATAAATATTTTTTTATTATGGTTAAGGAATTTATCCTTTATTAACCCGATTTCCATATTTGTGCAGCCTAAAAATAATAACACATTTTTAAACAAATAAAAGTGAAAAAAGATTGTGTGAGTAAAAAATATTGTTTAAACACATTTTATGTGTTAAAATCATTTTGTACTTTTTTTGTTTAAATTCTTTATCTTTTTTGGTAATGATTTCATCATTACTAGTATCGTCTAAATCTAAAAGAATTATTTTACAATATCCATTTCTATAAACATAATGCCTTTACCTAATTATGTACTAAAAACTTACTTACCTTGAAAACCGACTCTCTGGATTATTAATTAAGTCCTGGAAGATATATTTTTAACTTAAATCGTTATTTTACACTTAAGATGTTAGAACAAAAGCGAAACTGCGTAACAAATAACATATAAGAAGTATTAAAGATCATCAAGTCTGAACATCTATGACTGCGCGAGATATTGCAAGGTTGCCAAATTTCGGAGGTAACAAATGTACGTATACATGACGGAGGTAACTTTGGTGTGGCTGAATCTGATTAAAAAGCGACACTAGCGCCAATTCATATATGGTGGAACTAAAAGTTCCTTTTTAAGAGACTGGGGGGTCAAAGTGACCTCCGAAATATTTTTGCACAGATTGACTACTGACACTCCCCCAATGTCAAAAATATGGTTAAACACTGTGACCTCCGAATTTGGAGGTCACAGCGTCATATATGAGGTCACAACGTATGAAGGGTCTCCGTTTTGGAGGTGACAATGTACCCTTTATCAATATATATATATATATATATATATATATATATATATATATATATATATATATATATATATATATATATATATATATATATATATATATTTGAGGTGGTAACATTCCCAAAGCAAAGCTCGGCGAAAGTTTTTTTTGCGAGCAAACATGATTTATTAGCTTATATTTAGAAAAGCTATGCAAAAAAACAATATAGATTTATTTTTATTTTAAAATAAATTATCCGTTTAAAGACTTTTATATACCCTTTACACATTAAAAGCATCAGCCAATCTATCAAATCTTTTTTTGAAACAAAACTAATCTCCAAACATTTCAATGAGTATTATACTTACTAAATAATATTTAAAATTAAAATGGGTAGAGATTGTGAATTTATAGGTATTTAAGAATGTTATTAACCTATTTTGGACCATTTGTAGACGATAAACTTTGGGTGGTTTTTGGACAGTTTCTACAATAGTGGGGCGCAACGTGCGGCTGTCGAAAGGCCGAGTTAAAATGTTTCGTAGTTTAAAAAAATTCTTGCAGGAAAATCTGTTTAAACCTTAGATAGATTGCGATTGACTCTTACAAAGAGATATGTTTGATCTACCAACCATGGTTTCTCTAACAAGATACTGCGAATCTGATAAATGGCCAGACCTACCACATGACACTTCATCTTAAAAAATCACAGACAAACGGACATAGAAGAAATAAATATATTTTGACATGGATTAGACTTACAGGAAATACCGCAATAAAAAAACGATCCTGAGACTCTTCTTCTAAAGCGTTCTTGCGTAGTTACACCGAGCTCTATTTTTTTTTAAATTGTTTCATATTAAAAGAGGTACAAAATGTTTATTAAAATAATTTATCATAAAATATACCGTTTGCAAAATATTTGAAAAAAGTGAAAAAAACACCAAAAATTTGTTTAAACAAAAAATAGGTAATTTAAAGGAAATAATGATTATTGTAAATTATTGTAAATTTTATAAAAAATAATTAAGCTTTTTTACTTTTTATTGTGCAATTGAGAAATTCGCTAAAAAATAAAAATGTATTTTTACGTAAATCTTTGTAGGAAAAAATGGTCAGGTGGTGCTTAAAACTAAGCTTTTAAATAGCCCCTATTCTCAAAAACACTCGTTTGTAACATACGTGTTTGACAGCTGATTATTAAAAGTTGTAGTTTTGTTACGATCATAACGGCCACGTGGTTGCGCTATTAGCGATGCTTCTTTAGCGTATAAGAAAAGAAAATAATTTTATTATTTGAATTTACTTAATTTGACCTTAAATATTGACATTTTAAAATTGACAATCTGCTAATAATAACCCCCGCCCACCCAACCAATCCATTGTCTATGATAATAACTTATAAATAAATTTACTGACAGGCGACAGTTAACAGCAGAATTGCGCCTTATCGGTGCACGGCTGCCAACAAATGTGCAAAAACCGATTTATATTAAAATCTGTTAGCAGCCCCGCCGATCCAAATTGTTGACCGAAATCCCAATTTCAAGAATCGTCTCTCTCTCCCTTGTCTCTGGTATAGGTATAGGTTATCCCGAAAAAGGTGCCCTAGTGGTATACCACGCTGTAGAGTTATTTTAAGCATACAAAAAATACCTTAAAACAAGTTTTAAAATTTATTAATAATAAAAATAATAATCATGATTTATGTTTTTCTTGTGTTTATTATTATATTGTAAACTTTATTTTTACATTATGTTGGCAAATAAATTATTATTTTTATAGCTTAATCCAGATGTTAATGTTTTTCAAAGAAAGTTTGTCAATGAAGTACGAAGATGTGATGAAATGGAAAGAAAACTTAGATACTTAGAGAAAGAAATAAAAAAAGATAAAATTCCAATGCTAGATACAGGCGAAAATCCAGAAGCTCCACAACCCAGAGAAATGATTGATTTAGAGGTAAAGTCACAATATTGTTTGTTTTTTCATAAATATGTTATTTTCTAGGCAACATTTGAAAAACTGGAAAATGAACTTAGAGAAGTTAATCAAAATGCTGAAGCCTTAAAAAGAAATTTTCTTGAACTAACAGAACTTAAGCAGATTCTACGTAAAACACAAGTTTTCTTTGATGAGGTAAGATATACAAAACTAAGCTGTAAATATTATTTACCTGTTAATTTAATCCTATTACCACATACTTACATTGTACAGTAAATTTTTGTTTTTTATCAAATTGTGATTATTCATTATTTAATTCTTAGTAGGTAATTCATTATAGATTCATTTTATAATTGTTGTGATAAACTTAAGAATCACGTTTATATTATCACTTATATAATCACAATTTGCTAATAAAATTATGATAAATATATTCAGAAGCGTAAAAATGGGTTTCCGTGAGACTTTTAAAAAAGTTTTAGATTTTTGGAATTTTTGGATTTTAGGTCTATTATAATAATTATTAATGTTCGTTCAAAAAAATGAATAACATTTTTTCAAACATTTTATCATTAATTTTAAACATTGACAATCTTTATGTCTAACTTATCTTATTAATATTAAATTGTTAGCTGAATATTTATTTAGATTAATTAAAAAGCGATTTTTAGTAAACCTGAAATATCCAACAAAGAAAATGTCTGATGGAATCACCAGTTAAAACATTTTTTAAGGAAAACGCAATAATAAGCAATAATAACGCTTTATACTGAAAAAAAGCTTGTAAAAAATAAAATAATACTTTTAATATATCCCTCTTCTCTATTAAACTTGAATGGATGACCAGGGTGATAAAGTTGATGATAAAGTTAGTTTGCGTTCTCCAAAAAAATACATATTTTTATTTAAAAAGCAGTATTGGAAAAAATAAATTATACTTAAAAGATTGATAAATTTTAAGGCTATGTAGATGTTTCTTTAAAATATTGTTAGATATACAGATCTTAAAGGAAACAAAATTCTAATTATAAAAATGTAATATTAAAAATTGAACCCACATGAACGTATCTTGTGTATAATTATTTTTTCATAAAATAACCTGTATATTTTTAATAAATACAGCATCCTAACATTGGCAGAACCAAAGTTGACGGTCGATTTCACTCAAGCTTTTAATTAAATTGTTTGTTTTGTTTTGATTTCTATAAAAAAATCCTTTAAATTGTTATGAAATCGGCCGTAAGCCAAATTGTTTATGTTGAAGTTAAAATTAAAGCTAATTACAGAATAAAAATTAAAAAAATCAAAATACCGCTTATTCACCTATTTTAAACAATCTGCCCTAACCTATTTTTTTGGTTAATTATTTTTAAATACTGATTAATTTAACTAAAATACTAAACACAAGTCAACTAAACTAATAAATAATACTCAACAAAAATAACTTTTGCGTGGGGATGCCATTATTGAGTAGTAAAACTTTACCAAAGATTATTATTTTTATGAAAAACATTTCTTACCTCCCAAGAATTAGCACTCTGGTTTGCTATTGGGCCGTCAATCATTTAGCTAAAAATTGGAACAGGTTTGTTATCATAAACAGCTGTCCAAAAAGCGTATAGCTAAAATGTACAGGGTTGGGTTGGGTTGGTCCACGTAAGGTGACCCATATACTTAACTCAGAAACTACTGGAGTCACAAAAATTTGTAAGGAAGAAATATTCACGAAGTAAAAAATAGATTTAACTTATAGCTTGGTTATTATTAAAGAGATGAATACTACATAATATAAAAAATAATAAGTTTTAGTTGGTTATTTTTAACTTTTAGCGAATGTCTACATTTAGAGAAATTTAGATAAATTTTAATTTTACTCAAAAAGTATTAACATTTTCCTAATTAATATATTTACAAAGTATACCTAAAATAGTGTGTAGAATCTAAAAATGCAAAAAAATACAGGGTGTTCCATTGAAAATAAGAAAGTTGGTATTGTCTTACGGAAAACCGAACACCCTGTATAAATGAAAATATAATATTTTAAAAATATTTTTTACTTCGTGAATATTTCTCCCTTACAATTTTTTTGTGACTCTAGTAGTTTCTGAGATAAGTATATGGGCCACTTTACGTGGACCACCCTGTACATTACCATGTTTTTCCCGCAATAATAAAATCAAGCTACACAATGTAGGATGCAGGATGCCCTGATTACCAATATATAGGGGTTTTAAAATAGATTCTCACCCTACTTTTTTGGTAAATTTTATGAAAACAAGAATAATTTGCATTTACATTTTAACTTAAAAAAAAAATAAACAAAATAAGTAAATGATTTGTCCTTACATTATACATTATAAATATAATTTAAATAATAAATACAATTAATAATAATAATTAGATATAAACAATATCTAATACGGCTTTTTTTAATGACAAATGTAAAGTAAAATTAAAAAAAAAATCAAAACCAAACGATAATATAATTAAAGCAATAATTTATTATATAATATATTACAGGGTGGGGCAGAGCAACTTGCTTATTTAGAAATCCAATAAAAAAAGGAAAACAGATATATGTACATTTAATTCTTTGAACAACATTTACATGTTTACATAATTTTAAAGAGGATATCAGCCAGGTGGCGATCAATATTCTTAATACACTGCACTGGCCGGCACGGTCACCTGATATAGCCCCTTGAGACTATTTTTATGGGGCTATTTAAAATCAATTGTTTACAATGATTGTCTTAGGATCATGGAAGTTGAATGAAACTGCCGAGTTCGATTAACCACCTGCCTCATATAATATTTGGCGGTACCATAACTTTTAGAACTGTTTTGTTAAACTATTATACAGTGAAATATACAATCAAATAAATAAATAAATAAAACTATGTAAACATAAAATTTTAATGTTGTACTTGATGTTTAAAGAATGAAATATATATCTGTTTTACTTTTTTTTTATTGTATTTCTAAATAAGCAAGTTGCTCTGCCCCACCCTGTATTATAAAGTATTTTTAATGTGAATATTCAAACAAATTTTTGAACATAAGTGGGCAATTCGATACTGATATTAGATTTTAAATTTTTGCTTATAATTTTACGGTCGCACAGTGTAAAGCGGACAGCGAAAAATGTGAGATTTTGAAATTTGTTCCATTCTGCTAAATTAAAGTACATACGCGTATATTCATGTCGCAGTGGAGCTGCATACGTACATTCATCTATGGCCTAAAATTATAATGAATAATGAAAAAAAAGGTTAAAGTTATTAAAACTCTGCTTTGTTTACTTCCGGTTTTATACAAACAAAAATTCAAATTTCGAATCTGTTTTCATAATTAAAACAAACAGTCGATTTTTGATAAAATCCACTATATTTCGTATTTTATTGTAAATTTGGTTAATTCAAAAATCTGCTTCCTAACAATCCGTCGTTCATATTACGATTATCTTTAGAAGCCCAAAACTTGACAACTAAGCCTCATACACAGCAAACCGAAAAATATAGAAGTGTATTGGATGACACCACGTTTGAATACAGTTTTCTAAACCCTCTCTACGGTATAGAGTTGTATTCGTTTCGAGCGTTTCAATACTCTCCACAGTATAGAGGTCTTTATTTGACTTTTGAAGTATTAATATGAAAATTAATTTATGCTTGAAAAAAAAACTTTATACGACATGATTGTGATTTTTTTCATTTTATTAATTAAGTTGTGTTGAATATATTTCCTAAAGGAATAATTGCCAATGGGCCATTAATTCATTTGTTCGTAGATTCTACAATAACCTGCACTGGTGTTTACTTTTTGAACAACCAGATTTAAATATTGCTGTACTAACATATACCAGAGCTCATTACTAAATTAATAAAGTTTAATAGCATATCAATCGTTTTTTCAACATAATCTCTGAATTTTAAATACAAATATATTGTAGGTACTTTATATAATACATAAATATACTTTACATCATATATTTTATATCATCTGTGATTTACATACCTGAGTTGTTACGGTAAATAAAAATCAGACAAAGGAACCAAAGAAAGGAACTGTTTTCAACAAAAAACATGCAGAAATGAGAATCTTCAAAATACTTGCAATATTGAATTACACCCTCTTTTTATACTCTTAGAAATATTGACCAGAACAGTAATAGAGAGACTCAAGTTTCTATAACTTGGTAGATTAAAAAGAATTCAAAACCGTTGCGATATTGCATTGCGCTGGTTTTTTATAATTCTCGGGAACATTAACGAAAATCATTGCCAGTATAATTCGAAAAGCTCGAGTTTCTATGTCTTTGAAGAGAATAAGAATTTGAAGTTGCTGCACCATTGGACTGACCCCCTTTTCAATAATTTCTAGAGACATAAATGACTGCACCATTCGACAAGGTCGAGTTTCTACCTCTGTTGAAAATAGAAAATCAAAATAATGTATCCTGTAAGACACCATTGAGTTTGACTTTAAATATAGTCGTGCATAGGTATAGAGGCGAAAAATATGAAAACAAAGCACGATTCAATACAGTTCTGATAAAACTTTAAGATTAAGTATTCAAACGGGGAGTCATCCTATACACTTCTATATTTTTCCCTTTGCTGTGTACACAAAAAGTGGGTATACATTCACACCATTTGTTTTGTTGTCCGCTTCACATAAATTGTCCCATAAGTTAATTTTAAATGTGACCGATTTTAGGGGAATTTTGCGAAAGTTTTCCGGGAGTTTTGAAAATTGTTATTTTTATATATTTTTAAAACATATAAAAATAACAATTTTCAAAACTTATTTTAGAATGTTCACTTTGCCACCTCGTATCTTTGCTGCTTGTGCCGCCATATTGACGCCCATCAACAATATCCCACTGATTTTACGATAAAAATAGTTATGTAATAAATTAAAGTAAAGAAAATTTTCTATAATTTATCCAGTAACGTTTATTTGTTTTTTAATGAATAATTTTAGCGTTTGTCGCAAACCAACACGCGTAATTCCGAAATTCTATTTCGTATATTAACGAATTTTTTTAATATTTTACTAAGCATTAAAAATCCGGCCTACTTAGGCCTATATGGCCCGTCGCAGTTATAAAGGCACACTCCCCCTTGGCCTTGGGACTACATCTACAATTTTTTTTTAATTTTGCGATATTTTTTTTATGAAAAGTAAACTTT